GCGACCCGCTCGCTCGACTGGGCTGTCTGGGCCTGCCCGCCCGATCGGCCCTGGTTTTGCCGGGGCTCCCTCTCTGGGCCTCCCTCCTGCAAATCTCTCTCGTGCTCCATCCTTCTCCCTTCTCTTCCCTCCTCCCCTCCTTTCCCTGTTTTAGGGGTTGCCAGGTTGCGCCAACTATGCGTGGCAGGTTAGGAAGATATAACCCCAGGGAGGTACGATTGAAGACGAAGAGGGCGGGCATCGAGGGTTTGGGATATTCTTGTTGAGTGACATGCGAGCCAACGAGAGCGAGCAGGTACACAATGATTGTTGTTGCTGCTGCTTCTGGTTGTGGTTGTGGTTGTGGTTGTGGTTATTGTTTTTATTTTAATTGAATGATCAGTTCTAAAGAATAATTATGGTTGATCCCTTCCTCCGGTAACATGTGTCTTCAATTGAAGTGCCCCGCGCGGGGCTCGTAACCTGTGCTTTCTTTCCTTGGACAATCTTCCTCAAATTGCGTTGTTGGCCCCCGAACTACAACAACGGCTCCCGCCTGATACTTCCTCACAAGGTATTTCCACACCGCGCTTTCGCGCGGGACTCCTGACAATGTATGCAGGAATCGCGCTCTCGCGTGGGACTTCTGGCAATTTATTCAGACGCCGCGCCCTCGACACTCAGGAATCACGCTCGCCTCTCTCGCGATTTACTTGGGAATTGCGCTATCGCTCGAGACTTCCGCGCGATTCATGCAGGACTCACGCTTCAGCAACCCGCCTGCTCGACCTGGCCATCTGGTCCCGCCTTCCCGACCCGCCTGTTAGGGCCTGCCCGCCCGATCTGCCCGTCTGGTTCTGCCATGTGTTTACTGCTCCTGACCCCCCTCTTGCTAATGTCTTTCATGCTCCATCCTTCTCCCTCCCCCTTCTATCCGTCTTCTCTTCCCCTGTATTAGTGGCTGCGACAATTTCACGTGGCAGGTAAGGAAGATATGCCCCCAAGGGGGTACGCCCGAAGACGAAGAGGGCGGGTATCGAGGGTTGGGGATTCATGTGTTGACTGGCACGCGAGCAACTAAGAGCGAACCGTCTCAACATGACTGTTGTTGAATGTTAAGTGTTAAAGAATTGTTATTGTTGGACCCCCCCCAGGCGCTTTGACGGTCTCGCCTCGGCGCCGGCTACATGTTCATTTAAAAATGAGGCTCACGCTCGAGCGGATTGGGGGGCACCAAAACCGCCCCCCCAACAACAACAACGCTCCCGCTCGAGACTTTGTCCTTTTTTAACTCAGGGCTGGTGCTCTTGCTCGCCGCCGAAAACCGCCGTCCCAACAAAACCAGCGCTACCGCTCGAGACTTCCTCCCGTTTTCCCTTGGACTGGCGCGCTAATTACTCTTTCTCTCATCGGCGCCGCCCCCAGCAACAACAACGCTCCCGCTCGAGACTTCCGCCCTTTTTTACTCAAGGCGGTGCTTCTCCTCGCCGCCGAAAGTCGCTGTCCCGACAAAGCAAGCGCTCCCGCCCGAGACTTCCTCCCGTTTTACGCTTGATACTCTCTTTTGAATTGGCGCCGCTCGCAGCAAGAACAACGCCCCCGCTCGAAGCTTCCTCCTTTTTTCCTCAGGACGGTGCTGTTCCTCGCCGCCGGCAGCCCCCGTTCCGAAAAAAAAACACGGCTCCCGCTCGAGACCTCCCCCCTTCTTACTCAAGGTGTTCCTCCGCGCCGCCGACAACCGCCGTCCCAACAAAACCAGCGTTCCCGCTCGAGACTTCGTTTTGTTTTTACGCTTGACTAGCGCCCAACTCTCTTCAGCTGGCACCGCTCCCAGCAACAACAGCTGCCCTGCTCGAGACTTCCTTCCTTTCTATTGAGGGCCAGGTCCTTGCATCGCCGCCGACAGCCCTCATCCCCACAAAGCCAATCCTGTCGCTCGATACTTCCTTGTGCTTTACCCTGGGCTGAGGCTCCACTGGCGGTCTCGCATCGGCGCAGCAAGGCGCGGGCATGTATTTTCGAGGCGGGATATGTTGAAATTCCTTGGAGGAGGTGTTTGCAAGACCTCATGGGGCAGGAGATCTGGGAATGGGAATAACGGACCCCGCTAGAGAACAATACTCCCCCATGATGGGGACGGCTATCCTGATGGTCGCTTGCTTCGTGAGGAAACATCGCGCATGAGGGTAACATGATTGTTGTTGTTGTTGTTGTTGTTGTTGTTGTTGTTGTTGTTGTTGTTGTTGTTGTTGTTGTTGTTGAATTCTAAGGTCTGAAGAATAATTATTCTTGATCCCCCCTCACCGGTGCATACTGTTTTTCCTAAATCGAAGTGTGCCCCTCGACGCTCGCACCCTGTTTTTTGACAGGGAAAGTCTTCCTGGTCAAACTGGCCCCCTGGCCCCCGGGTTACAACAACAACGGCTCCCGCATGATACTTCCTTGCAATTTAGGCAGGACCCCCGCTCCCGCCCGAGACCCGCCCGAGACCTCCTCGCATTTTATTCAGGAATCGCGCTCTCGCTTGGGACTTCCTTACAAATTATTCAGGAATCGCTTTCCCGGAGCTGTGGAGTCGCGCTCTCGCTGGAGACTTGCTTGCAATTTACTGAAGAATAGCCTTGCGTTGGAATTTCTTGCAATTTGCCTAAGCGCCGCGCTCCCGACACCCAGGCACCCAGGAGTCGCCCGCTGTGGCCGCATGTGCATGCCCTTCGTGGCCCCGCTGTCGCCATTTGTGTCCCCCTCATTGTCCTACGTGGCCCAGTTGCTACCCGTAGTTGCCCCATAGTTGCTTTTTGTGGCCCCGCATTATCTGCACTTTGTGGCCCCCGCTCATTCGCATTCTTCGTGGCCCCATACGCATTCCCTTCGTGTCCCCGCTGTCGCCCTTCGTGGCCTACCTCGTGCCCTTCGTGGCCCTGCTGTCGTTCTCTCTCGCTCTCGCTTTCGCTTGTCGTCGCCGTCGTTTTCGGCGTCGTCGTCGTCGTCGTCGTCGTCGTGGTCGGTCCCCTGTCCGTCCCTCTTGGGGTCGGGTCGACGGACCGCGGCCGCCCCGCCGATCAGCGCTGCCGCTGGCCAGGCCGACGGTCCGCGGCCGCCCCGCCGCTTGCCGGGACCCGGCCTGCAGGGAAGAAAAGTATACCCCCCAAAAGGGGTTCGATCGAAGACGAAGAGTGCGGGTATCGAGGGTTTGGGAAATACGCGTTATTGGACACTCGAGCATATAAGGGCGAACGGTCTTAGAGTGGTTGTTGTTGATGTTGTTGGACACGTGCACTGACGATCCGTACCCCCCCCCCGACGGGGCCACCGCAGGGCCCCACGGGATTGTTGGGGTGTTGGTGTTGGTGTCCTATCATATTCCATAGGGGTTCTATAGGATACTTGGGGACTCTATACGACTCTTTCGGGGACCTATACGGTTCCTTCGGAACCCCATACAAATGCCATAGGGATCCTATAGGATCCCATGGGGATCCTATAGGATTCCATCGAGATCCTGTAGATGCCAGATGGGATTATCGGGTTCCATCGGGATCCGTCGCAATCCTTATAGGACCCCTGGGATTCCTTATATGATCCCCGTGGAACCTTATAGGAGTCCTACAGGATCCCTATGGGGCCCTGGAAGATCCAAAAGGAAGCCTCCAGGAGTCCCATCTGGTCCCTGTGGAATTCTATAGGTTCTCTATGGCATCCTACAGGACCCGCATGGGATCCTGTAGAACCCATATAGGACCCCTGTGGAATCCTATAGGATCCGTATGGACACACATATAAATCCTTCCATGGAGTCCCATGGGATCCCGATGGGATCCTACAGGGGTCCTATAGGATCCCTACGGGGTGAGTGGCTCTGAGCACATCCTTCAGCACCTCCCCGTAGGAATCCTTTGGCGATCCTTAGGGATCCTTAGGGAATCATGAGGAATCCTTCTGGGAATCCCGAGGGATCCAGTGGGAATCCACCTCTCGAGGATCGTGGTCGTGGCCCCACAGGGAGCACAACCAAAGTTTGATTTCGGCACACCTCTCTCGAGGATCGTCGCCCTGGCCCCACAGGGAGCCCCACCAAAGTTTATTTCGGCACACCCCTCTCGAGGATCGTGGCGCTGGCCCCACAGGGAGCTCCACCTCATTCGGTTCGCTGTGGGTTGAGGAGAAGAAGGATGAGGAGGCGGAGGAGGAGGAGGAGGTGGAGGAGGAGGAGGAGGTCCGTACCCATTTTGGTTCAAGCTGGTTTCAACCCCCCTGTTCACCATTTCGCATCGCGCATGGCCGGTGTCTGGAGGCGGCGCTGCCAGAGTCTTGGAGACCCTTCGGATGGTTCGGGAGGGCGCGGATGCGCGCCCAGGGCATCGATCTGCCCAGTCTCGGAAGCTTGCCCGCGAACAGGCCAGGTTGTCAGCAGATGGCGCCATCCGCCGCCTATCTGGCTAAGTGTGCGCTCTGCAGGCGGAGTTACAGTCTCTGCACGGCTGCCTGGAGGAGGTGTTTTGGGATGCCGAGCTTGCGGACCGCATCCTTGCTCTCGCTCCTGCTCTTCGGGCCAGGTCGTGAAGCACTGCAACGTCGGAATGTCGCCTTCCACGCGGACGCGATGGACTGTATGGTGTCCACCGCGTCCCCTGCTGCTCTTCCTTCGTTCCAAAAATCTGATCGCCTGGAGATCCGTCGTGAGTGTGCTGGGCATCCGTATTTCCAGTTGGACCCCGAGGCGGAGGTGTTCGTCCCCGGTCGTGGAGGGCGCCTGCAAAAGGGGCTATGCGAGGAGCAGTTCGACGACGGCGCGGTGACAGCTGCACGGCCATGTTCCTCGCCGTGGTGTTGCCGATTTCCTTTTTGGGGCAGGTCGCTGGTTTCCGCTGAGGGAGCGCCTAGGCCCACCTGCCTCCGATGCACATGCGGCTCGCTGGCTTTCTCCTCCGTGCCCATCGTCGCGACTTGCTTCGTGAAGTACCCGGCGCGGAAGTCTCAGAAGCTGGAGGTGCAGCCCGCCGTCGGGGCGCCAGCGCCCGATGCTGCAAGCGGTGGCGCAGTTCGGGCCCCTTGCGGGGGATGACTGCCCTGGTGCTGTGGCCGCCGCTGCCGTGCGAGACGTGGAGTGCGAGTACATGGGCGAGCGCGTTGCGGAGCTGGAGCGGTGGAAGGCCTCGACTACCCGTCCTTTCGTTCGGCGGCTGGCGCGGCTCCGCAAGGATGGCAGTGGTGGCGAAGACCTCCAAGTGCCAGCGCCCGTCTGTGAGAGCGGCGGAGTGCGCGGGCACTGCGCGGAGGGACGCGAGCTGACCAGGGAAGCGAACGCGTGCGGGTATCCGAGGAGCTGTCTGGATTGTGGCTGCGAGATGCCAGACTGCGTATACATGTTTCTCTGTGCATCGGAAGATTGCAATGATTGCTTCTGTGCGAGATGTGTGTATCCCGGGTTTCAGCATCGCTGAACCGTGCCAGTGCCTGCATGAGGTGAGGTGTGCGGTCTGTTCGTCGTGCACATATCAGCCTACCCTCCCGGTGCTCTGGCTATTTTCTTTCCTCTTCTTCTGTGTGAGGCAATGAAGATGAGGTTTACTTGCTCAGTGAGGGTGGCATCAGCTCTGCTGCTCGCTAGCGTTCACAGAGCCTGGTCGGCATGGGAAATGAGAAAAATGAGAAGTGAGGAAGAGGACGAGGAGGACGAGGAGGAGGAGGAGGAGGAGGAGGAACAATAATAACACGAAAAGGATGCGGATGCGGAAGACGAGGACGGGGGATGGAGGGTGGATGCGTGGATGGATGCGAAGAGGTGGAGGAGGAAAAGGAAGAGGGAAACGAGGAGGAGGAGGAAGAGGAGTGGGGGAGGAACACTAATGACAAAGAAGAATAATTTTCATATTCGGAAGAAGAATGAGACGAATAATGATACTGCGGGTATAATCGTATTCATAGTACTACTAGTAGGGATACTATTAATAATACTAGTATTATCAAGAATAGTATGAGTAATATAACGAAGAAGAATACTAATGATACTGATACGAATTTAGAAGCAGAAGAAGACGAATACTAATAACCATAAGAACGCGACTAACACTACCACAATGACTTCTAACAATAATACGGGTATTCGTTGTATTATTATGTGTAGGTTTTGTGTAAGTTATTAAGAAGACTACGAGTACTTTGACTCATATTACCAATAACGCTACTAATGCGACTATTTTTAGTATTCGTTATAGTACTAAAGTGCTAACAGTGCCACGGAACATCATAGTGATATTACTGAACGTATGAATGGTAACTTTTAAAATCATACACAGAAAAATAATAGGAGGAAGAGGAAGAGGAGGAGGAGGAGGAGGAGGCGGAGGAGGAGGTGGAGGAGGAGGAGGAGGTGAGGAAGTAAGGGGATGGAGAGAAGGAGGAAGGGGGAGGAGGGGAGAAAAGGGGGGAAAAAAAAAAAAAAGGAGGGGGGAGGAGGAGGAGGAATAATAGGAAGGAGGAAGACGAAATACCATAATCACAGAAATTAAAGCACCAATAATAATAATAATAACAATACTAGTATTAATAATATTACTACTACTACTACTAATAATAATAATAATATTTAGAAGAAGACGAAGCAGAAGACAACTACTAAGAATAATAATCATACTACTAATACGAAGAATACTAAGAATACTAATACGAATAATAATACTAAGAATAGTAAGCATACTAAGACAAATAATAATACGAATACTAAGAAGAAGACGGATACGAAGAAAACTAAGACGAATATTATTAATAATTGAAACAAAAAGAAAACGAAGACGACGAACAAGAAGAATAAGACTAATAATAACAATAATAAGAATACTAAGAATATGAAGGCGACTGATACTACTACTCAGACGAAGAAGAATACGACGATCAATGCGAATACGAATCAACGGACTAATACTAATAATAATACTCAGACGAATACTCATACTAATAAT